CACCACTGCGAAAAGCCGCCGAGGGCCAAAGCAACAGAGCTGACTTGCGCAGCCATATAATCCCAGTGTCCATTTCCTTTTCCATTTTCTTTTCCATTTGATTCTCCATTATTGGGGTAATATCCCTATATACTCCAAAGAGTACTCCATGTGCAGCCAGGCAAGTGAGGGGAGATGTCCGGAAGTTCATCAAGGAATTGGCTGGGCAGGCAAGGGCTCTTGAGGGTTTAGGCGTTTAGGGGTTTAGGGGTTTAGGGTTTTAGGGTTTTAGGGGTTTAGGGTTTTAGGGTTTTAGGGGTTTAGGGATTAGGGGTTTAGGGATTAGGATCCTACTGGGAGAGGGGAGTCGACATGGGTACCAAGATCAGGAATTATGAAGGCAGCTTGATAGGGATGCACTCCGAAAGGGAATCGTTGCCGCCAGAGACATTCCATCCAACGAATCATAACCCCTCCCCAATATTGTACCAGTATATATACAAATATGTGTGTATTATATATATATATACACATACATATACATATGTATGAGGGGTAACATTTATTGTCTCGGGGGCGGGGGGGGATTCCCTAAACCTTCAACCGTGGGAAATCCTGTGCAGGTGGCAGCTAAGCGAGAACAGCTTGGCTTGGAAGTCGGAGACAGCAAGGTGCCCCTCAAATCCTGCTTAGCCCTAAGGCTCCATGTTGGTACTACTTATAGGGTTTAGGGCCCAATGTAGGTATTATGTATATAGTTAGAGCCCCAGGGTAGGGCTTCGGATTTAAGGGAACAGTTTTAGGGTTTGGGTCTACATGAAGGTATTGTGGGGAGATAAAATATAGGGGAATGGAGAAGACATGGAAATTACTCTATTAAGCCTCAGGGTTAAGGATCACCAAGTTCTGTAGAAGCCTTCATGGGATTTCCAAAGCCAGGGTTCCCCTCTTGAGATTCCATGATACGATGATGCTATAGATGTACGCCACTTGGCGGGTATAACAAGAGGTAGAACCCCCCCGACAAATTTTCTGGAAGTAGGTCAATATTTGCGGACCTACTGCTTTGACTTTGGCAGAAATCGCTTAGTACTTATTGTATGTACTATGATACCCCATTGATTATTCTGAGTATTCAGGCCATTGCCGTACTCTGCCTGCACCGCTTTGGCCATAGTCGGATGCTGTTTGGGTTACATCCTGAAGCTTTAAGCGTTCAAGGCCTAAACCATGTAGTCCCCCTTCAGTAGAGAGAATATGGCCTTGGGTATATTATAATAAGATCCCCACATACCCTATATTCTATGTACTTAAGGG